AAGTTCAAATTCAGTCGCTACTTTCCCACAAAGGTAAGACCAGGGAAGTTTCTTTTTTTACTCTTTCTTATTTAACTCTTGCAGAAACACAGTTTCACACTTGCACTTTTCTGTCTTTCACTTCGGCCTTGTTAGTATCTTGGACATGTCCTTTCCTCTTTTTCTCTGTTATGCCAAAATCCTTGAGACTGACCTTAGCTAGTTTTGGATAAAAGTTATCTCTATTCTTTATTCTGCATGATCCTAGTAGCTGATCAGTAGGATCTTTAATTGTGTTAAGAGTAATCAAAAGAGCTTTATACCTGGAGACTCATGAAAGGTCTGTAATCATGCATGTGACACACTTTATATTAATATTTATTTAAAGCATATATTTATGCTATACACTTTTTGATATATGACACATTTTTAGAGAAAAGTTCCTAAATTGTTGAATCATTTGACACTGAAGACTGGAGTAATGGCAACTTTGCAACCACAGGAATAAATTACATTTTAATATATATTAAAATAGAAAATGATCTTATCTTAAATTGCAATGTTATTAAAAAACAAAAACATCAACAACAACCTTGTCGAAGTGAAAGACAAAAGTGCAAGTGTGAAAATCTGTTTTTTAAAGAGTTTGGGTTTTTGCAAGAGGGAATTTTTTTTTGCATTTGTATTCCTGTAAAGCTGCTTTGAAACAATCTATATTGTACAAAGAGCTATATTTTTTTTACTATATTTTCAATCATATAAAAAATGCATCCTTGGTGAGCATAAGAGACTTTTTATAAAAAAACTGAATACAAGATGACTATTTCATATTTTATGTTCTCTAACAGGTCGCTTGGCATATTTGGTTGGCTCTCTCAAAACTTTGTAGTAATTATTACAAAATAAAGCAAAATAACAAAATATTATAAAATAAAGCAAGATCATACCATATTACCACTGACTGTTCCTCATAGATACTGTATTGCACGTATATGGTGTCTTACATACTGTATACAATCAATTTTTTCTTTGTTTGAAAGTGAATTTTGTGAGGTTATTCTCTGTAGTCTCCCAGAAATTGCGTCACTTGTGTCAGATGCTCAGTCCCTGATGATGTGCCTGCCAAGAATAAATAAATATGTAAATAGAAACTTTCCAGTCATCTTGTTTTGACATTTATTTCTGCATTCAAAACTGTCATACTTTGACAAAAGGTGGCAAGTTTGCAGCCCAGTATATTATATGTAGCTCTTCAATGACACTGTGCTCTATTTCTGCAGCTGCAGCTACATGTTTTATTCATTCTTTTTCTATATTTATATATTTTTTCTATCTAGCTAAGGAAGTTGATTAGTGACTTCTCCATCTTCATGTCCATCATGACGTTTGTGGGGCTGGACATGCTAATAGGTTTACAAACACCCAAACTTATTGTGCCTACAGATTTCAAGGTAAGCGTAAATGAAGTTCAACTGGAGAATAAAACTGGAAATAAAATCTTGATTTTGTTTGTGACTTTTCAATAAAGAAGCTTCTTCAGTTTGTCTCAGTGTTGTTTTGTTTTTTTCCTTTTCAAATCACGTAGCCTACACGTGCCGGCAGGGGTTGGTTTGTGATGCCATTTGGAAAGAATCCGTGGTGGGTTTACGTGGCAAGCTCCGTCCCCGCGCTCCTTGTCACCATCCTCATCTTCATGGATCAGCAGATCAGTGCAGTCATCGTCAACCGCAAGGAAAATAAGTTAAAGGTATCCATGCAGTGAGCAGATCCTTCATCACCCGTTCTTTTCATTTCCATTGACTTCCTCACACTCTAGCTCTGTTTGCTACAGAAAGGTTGTGGGTATCACCTGGATCTATTGTGGGTGGGCGTTCTGATGGTAGCCTGCTCTTTTATGGGCCTGCCGTGGTATGTGGCAGCCACTGTCATTTCCATCGCTCACATCGACTCACTGAAGATGGAGAGTGAGTCTAGTGCTCCAGGGGAACAGCCGCAGTTTCTAGGTGTGAGGTGAGACAGACATAAACAACTTCTTTGTGGTCTCTCGCTACCATCATTTCTGACTGGCTCGGTACAGAGTCAAAAGTCTTTCCTTTAATAACAGCCATATATTATAAAATGGTTATTGAGAGTGGGCTATTAAGACTTGATTGTCATAAAATCTAATTTACATGAGGAGGCGGACCACATTTATATCCGAATCGTATTTACTCTACACGGAACAGATGCCAAACCTCAAACTGTAGCTATAAATCATATGGATACAGTTGAAAACGCTGAAATAAATGCATGTATGCACTGTGTTCGGTGTGAATCAGGCACTTTGCAATCAGTATTATGCTTAAAAAAAAAAGTACATCAAGTAAAAGTATATGATCATAGGTTGCCACTTTGGTATTGTTCAGTATAGTTAAACAAATAAATGCAATAAAACAATGGCTGTGCAGTACATATCTGAGCGCTCCACTCACAGTAAGTTTTTATTGTCTCTTTTCTCTCACTCTTATTGCTTCTCTTCCAATTACAGAGAACAAAGACTGACAGGAATCCTGGTCTTTGTGCTGACAGGAGTGTCTATCTTCTTGGCCCCCATCCTGCAGGAGAGCTTGTTGAAATGACAGAGATAATTAATACTGACTCTGACCTTGTATTAAGGGTAGATTAGCAGTTATTATCATAAAAATGTTCTGTCATGATGTCTGTGTGATCTACTCCACAATAGCTGTACTATTTCAAATGGGTAAAGAGCAAATAAATGTTATGTACACTGCCGTTTGAAATTTGGGGTCAGTATGATTTTCTAATGTTTGTGCAAGAAGACCCACCAAAGCTGTCTTTATTTGAAAATACAGTAAAAACAGTAATATTGTGAAATATTATGACGGTCATGGCCTAATGGTTAGAGCCAGACTTGTAACCTGAAGGTTGCAGGTTCGATTCCCAGTAAATTAAAATAACTGAATATATAATTGAATATATTTTCAAATGTATTCCTGTGATTGCAAACATGAGTTTTCAGCATTATTACTCCAGTCTTGAGTGTCACATGATCCTTCAGAAATAATTCTAATAGGCTGATCCGGTGCTCAAGAAACATTTATTGTCACAGTTTTAAAAAATATTTTTGTGTAAATTGTGATACATTTTTTCCCCAGGATTCTTCTAATAGAAAATAATCAAATTCTTATAATAGAAAAAAATTGTGACATTTCCTTTGTGACATAATAAATGTCCATCACTTGTCAGTTTAATGCATCCTTATACTGAATAAAGTTCATCCTTATACTGAATACTGAACATCCTTATACTGCCTTGGCAGCTGAAGTGTTTTTTTTTCTGTTTATAGTTCATTCCTATGCCGGTCTTGTATGGGGTCTTCCTCTACATGGGTGTTGCTTCTCTTGGTGGCATTCAAGTAAGTGCCTTAGGGATCTAAACTTTTCCCAACCAAACTGATTGGAACAGCTCTGACAGCCAATGTACATTTATTGTTTTTGAAATTCCTATGTTTTAATGTCATACCAAACTTTCAAGCTATACAGGGAAAACATCACAACCTGCAGTTTGCGTGAGAATGTAAAACTCATTTGCATGCACGCTACAACTGCATTTAGTGATTAGAAATTAGTGATTTCTCTCACTGCAGGGATAGAAGAGCGTGGTGTTGTGGGAATGAATATTTACAGGCTGGCTGGGTTTACCGAGGCAATTTTGAGCTGCATTTTGATGAGGCTGTCAGACTGCAGTGAGAATCCACCCTCTTGTGTAGCTTGGCAGTGGCCAGGTGCTGCTTTGCTGTGCTCTAGTAAGTCTAGTTTAATGTCAGTTAGAGGACAAAGGCAAAATGATGGACCTCAAGCAGAGACCTTTACAATACACTGAATTAATACAAATGTATTTAGGTTCATGCTGCTTTGAGGCTAAATGCTTAAAAGCTGAGATTGACTCTAAATAGCAATGTGCCCTTTTCTATTTGTGAAGCATTGGCATGTGGATTTGTGATTGTCTTGTGTAAGTGAGGTGAAAGAATGAACTAAAAAGGAAGTTAGAAAAAGTCAATAATATTTAAGTAATTTCTTGCATGATAGCATCATAAAAGTTGTTCATATGACTCTTGTGCTACATTTCAAGTCTTCTAAAGCCATCTGATAGTTTTTGAGGAAAAGATCAAAATGTTCATTGTTATTCACTGATAATCTTGCCTTCAAACAAACTGCAACCAAATCAGATCACTGAGTCAGTCAAGAACCAGATCAATCCGATTTGTGAACAAATCATTCAGATTGAACCATTTTGTAAAGCGAATCCATTTATTCAAATCATTACAACTGAATCACTTTGTAAAATGAATCAGCTTAATCATCAAAAAGGTCTGATATGTCCTTTTGGTGATGGACAGGCCTGGTCCTCATTCACTTTTATTATATGGAAAGAGCCATTTGGGTTTGAAATGACGCGAGAGTGAGTAAATAATGACAGATTTTTCATTTTTGTCCACTACGTATCTAATCAAACATCCTGTCTTTTATAGTTCTGGGACAGGATCAAACTGATTATGATGCCAGCAAAACACCAGCCAGATTTTTCATACCTGCGTCACGTACCGCTGAGAAGAGTCCACCTGTTCACACTGGTGCAGATTGTGTGCTTAGCTGTTCTCTGGATCCTCAAATCCACATTCCTCGCTATCATCTTCCCGGTCATGGTATGATACCATTTTATATTGCACACAAAAACATCAATGTATATCATGAGTCAAAACCACAAATCAGTTTCCATAACGCTTTCTGAATATAATCTATTCAGTAAGGGATCAGTGTTCTTCTGTACTTTGTTTGATTGTAATGTGTAGTTAAATCATGCTGTGAAGAGGCCATCTTGTTGAATTCAAATGAATTTCCAGTGGTCTGTAATTTAGTATATAATTGACTTCTCAAGGTTCTTAAGAATAATAAATATTAAGAATGCGTTAAGCATACAAACAAGTTTTTCCCCCTTGATTCCTCAGATTCTTGGTCTTATGGTGGTATGAAAGATGTTGGACATGGTCTTCTCTCAACACGATCTGGCATGGCTGGATGATATCCTGCCCGAGAAGGAAAAGAAGAAAAAAGAGGATGAAAAGAAGAACACCAAGAAGGACAAAAAGAAAGGCAAAGGAGGGGATGACAGTGAAGACGTAAGTGTTTTAGTAGTCCGACTACTCAAGGAAAGACGCAGGCTGCTGGGGTTGAAATGAGAGAAGTTTTATTTGACTTGACTTAAGTCACATAAAAATTATCTATTTAAATAATTTTTGACATCCACTGTTGTATTGTATTTCACTGGTGCCACCTTCTGGTGGAGAAGAGCCTCATGCTTATACTAATAAAGCTTCAAAGACAAACATGACGCATTCTACAGAAGCATACACTAATCTTCATCCGTTCTTTGGCCGACAGGACAAGTATAAACCCAATACAAACTGCTCCCCCAGTGATTCGGACTTGGATCGCAGGTACTGTGTGCTCAAACTACACGTTCCCTACCGTGACCTCTTACAGGCGCCAGACTCCAACTCAGAGTGGGCGGCACGATGCCAACCAGGCAGTTACTACTACTGATACCGACTTTATTAGTTTATTATTATTTCTTTTGAAATGTGAGCACATTTCCTCTAAAATACGCACCTCCACTACATTTAATTTTACTACTAAAGATTGCATTCATACGTACATACAGTAGAAATAGATGACATAGTTGAGAGGCAGCTCAGAATATTGAATATATAACTGCTAAGACCAATAAATAAGGTCATGCAAGACCTTACATTGCATATAGTTTTTTTTTGCTATATTCTCATTGCCCTTGCCATGCGCTTTGAAGCAATGCAGATAGAATTGTTTTCATGCAACCACCAGTATTTTACTCGGCATGCTTTTATAGAAAATGTGTATTTTATGGTGTTATGCATATGTATTATTTCTTTTGCTTACATTTTCACACCTAAAGAAACAGCACACATAAATAATAATTATTGAACTTCCATAATTAGATGTGGGTACAGTTTCTGTTTATATAAATACTGGGAAAGATGCCAGTGAGAAAAGTTTATATTTGAATTACTTTTTTTCTAGCTTTCTAGAATACATTTTTAGTAGCTATAAAGTGCATAATGTAACAATGTATATTAGTTCTTTTAAGGAATTTTGGTTGTTTCTTTCCCTGTATAATTGTGGTTCCAATAAGAGTGCTTATACAGAATAACTCTTGTACTAGATTTTCTAGGGTTTTTTCCCCCAGCCTGGTTCCTCTCAAACTATATTCACAACCCATACTTATCCAAATGTGTGCCTCTGTATCATTCTGATGTAGAAATGATGTAAAATCTGCTGGGTTTCATGTCTGCATTGCTGTTCAGGGGGCATGGTTTGGATGAAGTGTTCACTTTAACAAAGGTTCAATTTGTTAACATTAGTAATTGCATTAGGCATCATTTGGATTATTATCATACAAGATAGTATAGCTATTGTTAACGATCATGATACTTTATAATAATACTATTACTATATATTATTTTTATATAAAAAGAATATGGGGTTAGTAAGATGTCATACTTTGACAAGATTTGACAAGATTTAACAGCAAGTAAAGACTTTCACGTTGTTACAAAATACAAAAATACATTTAAAACAAAAATATTTGTAAAATGCTTTTGAACTTTCTTCTTATCAAAGAATCTTGAAAAATGTATCATGGTTTCCACAAATCCAGTTTAATATTTAAATAAGTTAATATGATTTCTGAAGGATCAAGGCTGCTGAAAATACAACTTTTCCATCACAGGAATAAATTATAATTGAAATAGAAAATAGTTATTTTAAGTTGTAGTAGTATTTCACAATGTTAGTCTTTACTGTACTTTGATCAAATAAATTCAGCCTTAATGAGCATTTTAAATATATATATATATATATATATAATTCCTGTTAAAAATGTAATGTATTACATTATATATTCTATAATTTTTTTAACAGGAATGTTAAAATATATATTATAAATGTCTGATCCTAGAAATGAACATTAACCAAGAACCAGAATTATTTCATGATTTCTAATGCATTAACTAATGTTAATGTTGAACCTTGTTGTTAAGGTTTACCATAGTTGTCCTAGTCTTTATCGCATTTAAACACTTTAGTTATCTCCTTAACCTAGACAAGCATACTGAGCCTTCTTCCTGCTTTGGGTGTCCTGATCCCAAATCTTTCCCCTGGAACACTTGTGCGGTCACCTGCAACTAACATCTTAATACAGACTGCTCCTCAGCTGTTCCTCCTTCCTGTCATAGCCCTCTCCTCTTTCTCCTCCTCACTCTTGTAACTGGAAGTTGCCATTCCACAGCATCACTCTGCACCTGAAGATCTCCTGTCCGTCATCCCCGGCGATGCCAATGACCAGAGGGATGTCCTGCCCCATGCCCCAGGTGAAGATTGAGATGGAGTCGGACTATGACGACACTGATATTAACCCTAGAGGCAGACACAGAGATCACAGGGACATGAGCAGCGAGACGACGCTATAATGTCGGTTCTCCAGTTGTGCAGTGTGGAACATTGCATGCTCCGTCTCAGCTTGTTTGAAGATCCTGTGTGGCTAATACGCAAGTTTATGGATCAGACAGCACTTTATGTGTACACATAACTGTGACGTGGCATAAGAAGTTAGAGGTTGAATTATTTAAAAGGGCAAACATTGAGCCGAAATGTATAATTTATGCAATGGATGCATTAAGCATCATTTTTGTTTCTTATTTTAAAAACCAAAACAGCTTAAAACGCAGTCAATTTTATTAATTGGAAACAATATAACACCATAGATAATGGAAAGGCAGAAAGATTATTTTCTTACAACAAATGAGAATATATTTTAGACAAAATCCGTTTATATTTATGCAGTGCAAACCTTTTGCAATTTCATTTTAGAAACCTAGATCAACTTTATATTCAAGATTCCAGTACCTTTGATATGATGGTGACAGGGATAAACAATTCTGATTTTGTTTTCCTCTGTAACTGCTACCTCTGGGTCTAGTAGTGTTGCCTTTCTCCAAACAGTCATGCTTTTTCCTTCCTTTCCCTGTCTTTTCCTGCCTAAATCACGCAAAAATCAAAGTTGTGGAAAAGAAACAACCAAAAAAACAAGCTTTGAAATAAGCAAATGAAAGATTTTTTGGCCTTACATTTTGTTTCCTTGAAAGTTTCAGAAGGCTTGTGTTCAGTGTACGTGAGAAGTTTTTTCTGTATATGAATGTGTAAATGGAAAGGTTGCAAATGATGGATATTGGCCGACATGAGATTTAACCTCTGGAGGAAAAAAAGAGAACTTTTTAAGATGCAATAAATCTGTTTCCTGGCAACTTGAATTTTGGTAAAGGAAATGAGGTGGCAGATTCAAAATATTTACTGAAATTGATGTTTTTGTACATATAAGCCATATATACCTTAGAATTATTATTCTTATTTTTTATTTTATTGTACATCTCAAATTCCTTGTATATATTAACAGTTTATCCTAAGATGAGACACTGACTAACATCAATAGCAGGTTTAAAACCACTACATTTACAATTAAATATTGAATCAGGTCATTTACAGTCAAAATTACCCAAGAACATAAATCAACTCTTATACCTTTAGGACTGATTTTGAAGAAGGCACCAAAATCATTTTATCCTGATTGCTGACTCACTGAGCAAAGCACCATGAATTAGACTCTCATAAATTAGCTCCCATATGGACTGAACAACATCATGTTAAAGAACATGACACATTACTACTAGTGTCCATAGTGAAGCCATCACGGAATACGTCACTCTCCACTAGTGTGGGTCTCTTACCACACATAGGGCAGAGTTTGTTCCTCTCACGTGAAGCTTGCATCCATATGATCAGGTTCCAGCGTGTGCCTGAGGAGATGGGCAGAGCTCCGTGCATGTGCCGGCCTCTGTGTAGCAGACCTTCAGTTACGTGATGCTCGGTGAATGTGATATTATTTCATTTTATTTTATTCGACTGATTGTAAGCAGAAGATAATACATTAAATCAGGTTTTCCAAACTTTCTGATGCAAAGGCACTTTATTAAGGACTCCCCTCTTCTAAAATAATAATTAAAAAGAAATTTGCGTGTGAAAATGATTAGGCATGATATTATGCATGTGGTTTCCAAAAGTAAATAACTGACATTTATATTTTCACTGCACATAAAGCCATAGCAAATGATTTCTATATCTATTATAAAATCTATTTAAAATGCATTATATAAAAAAAATGTAAATCTACAAAATACTCAAAAAGAAACAATTCAGTTTGTATTAAGTTGTATTGAGCATTTTTTCTACCCAATATATAGTCAGTTTGATGTAGAAACCTGAAGATATAAGATATGATTGAGATATGAAAAATAGTATCTCAGGTTAACTTTCAGGTTAATTTGGACAGACCAGGTGTGTCTGTATACAGTTAGATGAAACTTGAATATTGAGATATAAAGAGTTATTAATATCAGTTTAACAGGCCAAAAACTGTCTGGGAATTCTCAAAAGTTGTCTTCATAATCATCACACCATTTTCAAGCTCTATTATAAATTATAACTCACAGCACCCGTCTCATGTCTCCAAAGAACAGGTTCCCCTCCGTAAAGTCTTTCCCCAGTGATACATTGAGAGTGACTTCAGCGTTGTCGTAATGATAGCTAAGGTCCAAGTCTTCACGCATATCATACTTGACCACGAAAGCCTTGTGACTGTCCAGACAGCTTCCTCCACAGTCACTGTAGAGCAGAGCCGTGAGTGGATGCAGATAGACCTCCCTCAGTGGAGTGAAGAAACTCTCATCAAAGCCCAGTTCACTGAGGAGAATCTGTATTCATTGAGAGAGATGTCAAATTATTATTAAACAAAGAACAAGAACCAAATTAGTCTGCCTTTTGATGGCAATATCAATCACACAAACTGGATTAAGTGTGTATGATAAAAATGTGTACTCTATAATTGTTCATGGTGTTTGGCCGGCCCTTCGGAGCATCAGACTGTTCAAAATGCTCCAGCTCTTCTATAAAGTCCTTGCAGAATTCCTTTCGCAACACTGGGAATCGAAAGACCCTTGGTGCTGCAAAATACACAATAAACTTGTCTTCCATAATTTGACAGTCAACAGATTTCAACTGAAAACTGAGTAAAGAAGCAGCTCACCTGCCTCTGTCTGGATGAGTTTCATTAGTCCTTCCATGGTTGCATCATTTGAAGTACAGTATTTTACCAACTGTAAAAACTCTGGGGCCAGGAATGACTCCTTGCAAAGGATAGATGATGATATTGTAGTATATCAGTGAACGAGTTTCAATCATAGACTACCTGGATTACTGAATATAAGTACCTGCAGATGATAAACATGTTGATGTAGAGGTGCATAAATCTCCCTAATTGTAGCTGCTCTCTCTGCTGATTTCAATTTATGACTCTGGCGTCTTTCGATTTCTGCATGAATCTATAAATACACAACTGAATTATAAATAACCACCCTCTTACAGCCTTGATCTCCATCGTTATGACAGGAGTGATTTCTGCTCCAGAGCTCACTCACCTTTCCAAGCACGTCTCTGAACTGAGATTCAGTCACGCAACCCAGGGACCTGAGGATCGTAAGCAAATGTCACAGGTGTTCAGAAAGAACTGGCGAAGTATTTAACATTAAGTGTTGTTGTAGATTACTCCCATTTTGATATTCCTTCCTGAACTGGTTCTCTGCGATGAAACGAACGTGAAGTTTATATTCTTCAAGAAAAATATTATCTCTGAAAAAACAACTGCATGTGTAAAATTTATCCATGGATTTTATAATAATAACATCTACATACTGATATATTTATACAGGTGTAACAGCTATTTATACGACGAGAACATATTTTCGACACGGTTAGACTACTAGTTTGAAGTCTGTTCAGAGCTCCGCCCACTCAATGAATGTTTTGGAACAACCAGAAATATGTCCGTAAAGGAACAAACAGTGTCGATAAAATGAATACCTAATTCAAATGATCAGATTTAATAATGCTACATTTTTCTATGTATATGAGTATAAATATTCGAGACATATCTTGCATGAGTTCCTATCTAAAAAGAGCGATAAATACCGAAGTAATGTTTACATCCTGGTACGTCACTTAATTCCTTCCGTCCGACTGTTATTGTGTGTGAGTGTGCAAGTTCAAGGCAAGACTCGAGTTGTTTAGAAACACGCTATGATTGTCCCCTGTGTTTGGTGCGCCTGTAGTTTTAAAATTAAGATTGGATGATTATATAGCTGTGCCTTCTGTTATGTATTTAAAGCCTGGGACCGTATTTTCGCAGCAGAATGTTGAGTGTGGACTCGTTGCCCGTTGCCGAAGAGGAGGTGGTGGCGTCCAGCTCAAACAGACTGGGGGACATTTACACGTTTGTTGCCGAGGGCTGTTATCCTCAAACCATGAATCCTATTCGCAAGAAAAATCTCAAAAGATATGCTCAGAAATTTATGATTGACGGTGAGAACAATTCTTGTAGTTATCATTTTAAGAAATTTCAGTAATCTTGGATTCTTTCAATGTTTTGCAGTAAGTTACTTCCTGTAAAACAAAGACAGAAGGCTTCTATTATTATTTCTCAAGTTAACATGTTAACTTTGACAGGCCAAAAACATCTAACCTATATAAAAACCATCTCTCTCTATATGTATGTCAGCATGGCGCTTTATAATTATCACTAGACAATTTTTAAAAACTATATCTCCTCCTAATGTTTGAGGTGCTTTTTTCCCTCTAATCCAGTCTATTTTAGTATGTAAAACAGCTTTTAAAGGCAACATAACCAATGTTTTTACACATATTTAGTGCGTTAGCTAATCTTACTGAGTAATTTTTCCTTTTTTTGTTTTGTTACCTCTAATCTTTCTCTACAGATGGTCGATTGTATTATGTGGGACCAAAGAAAGAAGAAAAGCGAGAAGTAGTGATTGAGGCAGAGCAGAAGAGACAGATATTCCTAGAGTGTCACTTCAATGACATTGGACATCACCTGGGACAGAAGAAGACAGTTCACAGGATTCAGAGTAAATACTACTGGCTTGGCATTGTCAAGGATGTTGTGGATTGGGTATGCAGTGGATGTCATTAATATGACCCTTTTAGGAATGGACATGTTCGGTACCGTCATGTTTTTATTCATACCTTCATCTAAAAATCACTGTATCATCTATTTCAGATTAAAGTGTGCGAAACGTGTCAACACGCAGAGCGGAATAAAAACCTGGCTAGAACGGTACGACCCATCAAGGTGGATGGTCCATGGGACATTTTGGCGGTTGAAATAATTGGTAAAAGTTTGTAAGGGACTTTTAAGAAGTCTAATTAGTTAGCAGGACACATTTCTAAGGCTTAACCAAATGTCTTCACTTGTGTTATTCGAAAACAGGTCCATTCCCAGGCACTGCACATAGAGGGAATACACACGTTGTTGTTATTACAGATTACTACAGTAAATGGGTAGAGGCCTTTCCTGTACAAAAGAAAGATGGTCTTTGTGTTGCGCGATGCATTTCCTCATCTACTTGCAGGTGAGAAAATATTGCCCCATTAATAAAGAATAAATATGCTTATTTGCTAAAATGTGCCCCCCCTCCCAGATTTGGTCCTGCAAAGACAATATTTTGCTCTCAAAGTGCTGACTTCTGTGAGGAGGTAAAACTTTTTTTTGTCAAAATACCAACCTTTTATGCAAAACAGGTGATTAATTGTATTTTAATAGCATTGTTATTGATTATTTTAGGTTACAAAGCACCTGTGTGACCGGTGGAACATAGCGCAAAGAGTGTTGTCAGTAGACCAGCCGCAGCGGAATGCACTGTATGATCGCAGCAGTAATCTCCTGAGAGATGCCATAAAACAGATGGTGGTGGAGAAACAGGTGGAGTGGGATGATTTTCTCGATCCAGTTTTGGCCACCTTTAGGACATCGGTCAACCCTACGACAAAATTTACACCACACTTTTTAATATTCAACAGAAAAGCCAGCCTATCTTGTGAGGTAAGAGAATTAACTAATAGGATATGATAGTTTTGTGACATGAATGAATGATTTTATGTAATAAGTAGTGTGATTTTTCTGTAGTTAATCATGATTAATCGCACCTAATGTTAGAATTTGTAATCATAAATATATTTTCACACTGTATCTTTAAATTAATGTGGAAACAAAACAAAGGAGAGCCAATAGGTGGAGTTCGATGTCCAGCTTAGACATAATGGTTGGAGGTAGACACTCCAACCCCACCCTAACCTTACTACCCTATTGCTAAACATAACTCCACACATTACATCATTTGGCTCTAAGGTGAGCGCTACTTTAAATGAAGATGGTATATTTGAATGAAGGCAATACATGAATGAAGGCAAGTATCATTAATACAAATACTGATACTGCTGTCTCTGGGAATAAAATTAGTAAATACAGCCATTCAACATTACAGTAAAATTTGTGCCATTATTTTTTAACATTCAGTAGGCCTAAACTGTTACAGAACATGAAATAATATTATAACTTTTAATTAAAATCAGCTTCACAATCCTCGCCTAAACCCATTATAATAAATGTCATATTTAGCTGTGCTGTAATTTAGTGTGTGTTATAGTAACATAGTAAAAGTTTCTGTCTCTGTCAATGTCAGCTCTTTGTGTTTGAGAACTGTCAGTTCATTTTTCCCCCACTAAGTTTATTTTGCACAATAATTTTCACAATAAATAAGAAAAAGGTTAGATATAATATTTGGTATTCATATTTTTATGTGAGATATGTCGCATATTGCGCCCATCATCCTGACAAAGAGGAGCGAGTGGAGGTCATATACATGCAGACCACCGTCAGCCGAACCCACCCACAGCACACAGAAAGTAAAAAGAAGATACACTGACTGAATTGCTATTAAAAATCCATTTCTTTTTTTTTCTTCTTTTTTTTAAAAACACAGTTTGATCCTCTTGGTTGCTATCAGGACCAGGAGGACGAGGCCCTTAATGAAGAGGACACAAACACTTTTCTGTCCTCCTTGCAGGAGCAACAGAATAACATCAAACAGATGGTAAAGTCTGAGCATTTGTTTGTTTAGTTCAAATCTTTTAGTTAAAAATTATTTACTAATTGATCAGTTAAATTATTGCATCATGGTACATGTCTAACAACTAGCATTTATTCAAAAAGCATGTCTGAAAACACTGCTTTTAGTGCAGACAAGCTTGTAATTTCACACCGTTTTTCTGATAATGTTCTTTTTGTCTATACAGGTAGTGACAAATATGAATGTTGCATACAGACAAGAAAAGAAAAATGCAAAACGCAAGATTAGAAATATGCCTTCCATAACTCTCACTGTGACCGACCCATTGTTAAGCACAGAGGAAACGCCCTCAGCAAAAAAGCTCAAGGAAAGCCTCTACCTGTCTTTTCCAGTAGAGACAGTCCTGACCACAATCCAGAATGTACCTGAAGCCAAGAAAAATGGCTTGGAATATCCTCTAACAGATGTGCACTGAAAATCTTTTTTGATTTGACTATTCATAAAGCACTATCTGCAAAGTGTATTTGCATAGGCTACAGCTTGAAGACTTGACGTCTGCAGTAAGTGGTCCACAGAGAGCAGGTCAAGCAGATGAACTCATGTTTACTTTCTGTTTCAGCACATAATGTAGCAGATTAAAATATGGCATTTCACCTCAAGGCGTTCATTGACACAGACGATGGTCTTAGTTTTTTGTTTATTGAACTACACGCCCAAAGATTTAGTTGTTTTGCTTGGTTGACTCATGTCTCAAAAGACATTTTTATCTGTATTTGCTTTAGATGAGTCATCTGACATACAGAGATTTCAGTATTATCTGATAGAATGTTGTGTAAACTTAAATGATGAAGACTGTAATAATCAGTGTTCATTATCACAGAAAATAGTTCTCATTAGTTCTCATATAATGATTATTATATAACACCAAAGTGTTTCTTTTGTCTTTGACAGTGAGTCTGAATTTGCAAACAGCAATTTAGCTTCATCGTTTACTTAATCACTTACTCATCCATGTGTGTGGAAAGGAAATGTTAAGGTTCTATATGTCAGTAAATAGTTATGAAGTTTCAGGCTTTATCTCATAAATACTTTTTGCTCCATTATGTTTTAAATTATGATAAATGCTATCCAACAATTAACTGTTTTCATTTGTAATAAACAGATTTGTTAATCAGTTAAAATCAGTTATTCTGTGGCCAATATGACATCTCATGCAACTTCCTGTTTGCCTTTGAAATAATGAGGGCTGAAACAAAGGTGCAAGAACGTGACCACAGATTGCAGCATATTTCACAATGAGGCTGACCTTACCTTGTTACACGTGTCATGATTTAGACATCCTGCCAAGTGGCAACATGTCTGAAATAAACCGTTTAGTGTTGAAATGCTGTGTTCTTGTTTAAAATCGTATTTAATATTTCATAAAATGTTTATATTTTTTGTTAAATTTCTGCTATATATACAGTATATATATATATATATATATATATATATATATATATATATATATATAACACCAACCTATTGAAGCTGTAAAAATGTTTTTAACTTTAAACTGCACT